GTGAGCAGAGCAGGAATCAGTTCATTGCACCCGAAGGGATCTGTGCTGAGCTGGGCTGTGCTCACCCGTCAGGCAGCCCTCAGAGCTGCAGTGCTCAGACCGACTGGGTTCATTCTTAAAGACAGCAAACGACACCCCTGCCCCCTGGAGCTTTCCATTCATATAGGTTATATCCACACCATCATCTGATGGCAAACTTAATTGTAGACTGACTTCAAATATTTTTATGTCAACCCATGAAAAACTAACATTCATTTCATATTGACCAAGCAGTATTGTTTTCAAAGATTTTTTTAATTGAATCACTGTGAGATAGACCCTTACAAAGCCCTTTGTGATTAGGTTTCAGTCATGTGGTGTTCCAGCACCCTCTCCCCAAGCCTGCCTCTATGACAGGCACTTCTCTCTCTGTCTCTCTGTCTCTCTGTCTGTCTCTCTGTCTCTCTCTTGCTCTCTCCTTTTGGAAATTATGGTTTTCAGTACAGATGCTGAAAGGTTATCATGTATATCTCTTTACCTACTTTCAACACTCACTTCTTGTCCAGCGTGATCATTTCCAACTATTATTGTCATACTGGTCCCTTTTCTATCTTACTTAAAGTTCACCCCACACATACTTGTGGTCGATTCCTCCTAGCCCCCTTTTCCCCTGGCTGATCAAGCAGTATTTTTTATCAAAAAGTAACTATTTTCCAAAACAAATAAGTGGCTTTGTTTTGTTAGATGTCTAATACATGTTTAGCTTACTAAATGGCCACAGAATTCTTTTTATTCCTTTCCAAAATCTTATTTTGTTAAAGCACCGTGAGTTACAAAATTATTCATAGTTGGGTTTTTGACATACAATGTTCCATCACTGATTCCACCACCAGCGTCAACTCCCCTCCACCAGGGGTCCCAGCTTCCCCCTCCTGCCCCCACTCCTCACCCCAACCCCAGTTTGCCATCTTGGCAGACACCTTTTAAATCTGATTATCAAGATCTGTCTCTGCCATTTTACTGTTGTTGGCGCTGTGGTTTGATATTCAACTCTGTCATTCCTGTTTCTGAGTCCCCTTGACCCCTGCTCCTAATGCATCTCTCTCTTCTCCCCTTCTCCTTCATTCTTTTTCTTTCCTCCTCCTCCCTAAATTCTGGGGCCAAGGGTGATCTAGGCATCCCCTCTCCAAGCCATTGTAATTCCTCATCTGGTTACTCTAAATACCACATATAAGTGATACCATCCTGTGTTTGTCCTTTTGGCTTACCTCACTTAACATACCTTCCCGTTCCATCCATGTTGCGGCAGATTTCATCATTACCTGCAGCTTGTAGCATTCCATTATGCTTATCTATCACATCTTCATGATCCGCTGATCTATTGTTGGACATGTAGGTTGATTGCAAATCTTAGCTGTTACTCTGAGTGCTACAATGAATAGTGATGTGCATATGTCCTTTTGAATGAATCGTACAGGTAGATATTGAAAAGTGGATTTGCTGGATCATAGGGTAATTCAATTTTAAGTTTACTGAGAACCATCCATACTGTTTTCCATGGGGGTTGAATGAGACAGCATTTCTACCAGCAATGGATGAGAGTCCCTTTTTCACCACATCCCTGCCAATGCAGATTGTTCCGCTTATTTTTGATATGTGCACTCCTCACTGACGTGAGATGATATTGCTTTGTCACCTTAATTTGGATTTTCCTAATAATAGTGATGGTGAACATTTTTCATGTGCCTTTTGATGGCCACCAAATTCTTAAGTTTGCTAATGCACTCTAGACATGCTCTTTTAAAGTATGTGAAGAAAATATTACCTCACAAATTTCTGCTTGGAAAAAGATTAATTCGTCAGTACCCTCTCCTGGTCACTGTGGATCTTCTTTTTTGACAGTATCTGGGAATGCATGGGCAGGAGTTGGCTTCATGGTGACCTTGGAAGCGCTATTCATGGGCTTTTCATGCCCTAACAGTCTGTGTTGTACTTTGAATCTTTCTCTCACCCCGGCATGATTCCATTTCATTAAGTTGCTATTTCATTGCATAATAAAGCATTTCCACACATGGACACTTGTTTCATCAAGTAACGTAGATATTTCTACATAACACTAACATATTGCCAACCATGACACCAGAAATCTAAGTTTGGGGAAATGGTCAAAACTTGGTGCTATGTAAATTTTCTAGGTTTTTTTCTTTCTTATAGCCTCAAGTTTTGTTGCTCTCAGCAAACACTGGTATTTTTCTTTCAGATTCTGCCCCTTTTTTCCAGGAGTTTCTTCCTAACTGTAGATCCCAGCATATCTTGGCTATCACTCATTTCCCCCAGAGTAAAACTTCATTTTCAAGGCTGGGTCTCAGGAATTTTGATGAGTTCACTACTCCCCAATTCGTGACCATGTCCAGCCTTATTTCCAACATGCCTGGTTTGTAATTTGCTTATGTTGTTTAGTGGCTCAAAATAACAACAACAAACAGATTATCGTAGAGTGATGGAGTGTGGGAACCTGAAATAACCTCCCTGGGCTCAAACTGGGGTATGAGCAGTTTGATGCTTCCCTTCATCAGCGAGAGATGGCCGGGGGGTGGGGTGGTGGTGGACAGAAACAGGGAGAATGAGGGAGAGAGACAGACAAAAAGAACAGGAGGGAGAGAAAGACAAAGGGAAAAAGGGAAAGAGAAAGAAGAGGGAGAGAGGAATGGAGGGAATGCATGGGCAGGAGTTGACAGAGAGGGAAAGAGAAAGAGGGAGAGAAAAAAGGGAGAGGAAAGGGAAAGAGCAAGAAAGTAAGAGAGCAAGAGAAAGAGGAAAGAAAGAGGAGAGAGAGAGAGAGAGAGAGAGAGAGAGAGAGAGAGAGAGAGAGAGAGAGAGAACCAAAGAGCTCAGTCCCTCATCTTCAGCGGCCTTCCTTGGCTGCCTACACGTCGAGGCTATATTCCCTGAGAAGGACTTGCCTCCCACTGCCTCCCTCGGACCAACTCTCCTGTCCTTTAAGGATGAGTATCTCGAGGTCAGCCAGTCGGTATCCCAGAGAGTTCCACACTTGTCTGGCCTACCACCCCTTTCCAGACCTCTCAGTGCCTTCTTGAAGGGAACATACAGCAAGTGCCCCCTCAGGCCCTCAGTTACACTAGTCGTCTCTGCTACTCCCCTGGACAGGTCCAGCCTCACGGAGTCACCTCAGGACTGTGTGTGGCTGCTGCTGGCCACGCCTCAACCCCATCATTTTCACCCAGTTCCCTCCCTGCTCTGAGCGAGGGGAGGGTTGGTTCTCAGCCTGGGTCAGCCAGTGGTGAAATTTCCCTCTAAGACCTGCGCTCTCTGCCAGGACAGAGCCTCATGGAAGAGTCCCCACATTGGCCCCCTGGGGCAGCCAGGCCCTGGGGCTTTTGGGGGGTTTTCTGGGTCACACCCAGCGATGCTCAGGGGTTACTCCTGGCTTTCCATTCAGGAATGACTCCTGGCGGTCCTCAGGGGACCATGTGGGACACCTGGGATGGGACCCAAGTCAGCTGTGTGTAAGGCGAGTGCCCTACCCGCTGTGCTATCGCTCTGGCCCCAAGACCTATGGGTGCGTGGGCTGCCCTCTTGCTGCTGGTCAGAGCGCCAGCCTGTACTCTGTGCACTCTGGAGACACAGTGGGATGCTGACCGTCGCAGACCTATGAGGCTGACCTGCGGTTTTGATGCTATTAGCACCTGTGTGGTTTTTTTTCTGTATGATAGTGGCACCCTGTCATGGTCAGCAGTGGCCTGCTTGGGAGTCGCCAAAGCTCCCTCACCATCTGCCTCAGCAGTTAGGCAGAATGATTGGTCTTGGTAAACAATGAGGAAGGTGTGTGTGTGTGTGTGTGTGTGTGTGTGTGTGTGCGCGCGCGCGCGCGCGCGCGCGTGCGTGCGGTGGGGGAGGGAGTGTCATTGTGCAGCTGACGTTTTCCTAGGCTTGGACATTTTCACAATGGATCGCGGACAGGAATGACATGATTGTGTGGAACGCAGGTGGGAGAAGGTGTGGCTCAGGCTGACCAAGTGGCGTTTCCTGTGCTGGCGACGCGTGTGCTGCTGCTAGAGTTACACATCTTCAACTGCTGCGTTGATTTTTGACTGTTTTTGCCATGGTGATAATTCCCTGAGTTCACTGTGAGGTGTGAATTGTGTTCAAGACATTCATTAGGTCTAGATGGTGGCTCTCGTGGCAGAGCACAGGCCTTGCCTGGCTGAGGTCTAGTGCAGAGCCCCAGCACTAGAGGTCTAGTGCAGGCCCCCTGGTGGCCCCAGAGAAGGCTCCAGAGCTTTCATGTACTTTCCTCTGGATCCCCGATTTGCCCATCTGGGTCCTGCTCTTTGAGTTTGTTTTTGTTGTGGGTTTTGGTTTTGGGGCTGCACCCTGCAGTGCTTAGGGCTGACTCCTGGCTCTGAGCTCAGGGATCACTTCCCTGCTGTGGCTTGGGGGACCCTGTGGGGGCACCAGGGATTGACCCCCGACTCTTCCACATGCAAGGCAAGAGCCTTACATGCTGTGCTGTCACTCGGGCCACAGGTTCATGCTCTTGTGTCATCCGGTTTTGAGATAGGCTTGTCCCTTTGGAGAGGGGATGTGGTCGAGTTTCTGGGTCAAGAATCACATTTCCACCTCACAGATTCCCTCGATAACCCCTGCTGCATGGTGGTCCAGCCCACCCAGCTCCTGCGTTCAGGACCCTCCCGGCCCGCCCGCGTCCCATCTGAAGTTACTGTGTCCGATCAGAGCCGCAAGACCTGGAGGTTCTAGAGTCTCACGTCTCTTCCTTCTTTGCAGGAGCCAGAAGCCCCTCGAGCCCCTCCTGAGACCATCACACTCTAGGCCCCGGGCATCCTCAGGCGGCAGAGGAAAGACCTCCCGCTGCACCCGGTGCTCTCTGCCTGTGGCCAGGCCTCTTGCTTCGCTGGGAGAATCCATCGTTTGTGGAACACCATTGCTGGCCTCTAAGTGAACTCACGCCTTAGCCCACACTTGTCTCCTTGAAACTTCTCCGGCGCTTTCTTGGGCTTGTTCTTCAGTCCCTGTGAACCCAGAAGACAGCAGGTTTGTCTGTTCCCTTGGGGAGGTGGGGTGGAGGTTGGGGGGTGAGCATCTTAAATTCCCACGCTTCCTGTGGGGGTCTGGTGAGCAGAGGCCACCGCTGGACCAGCCCCAGGGCCCCTCAAGTCCTGGTGCGGGTGTGCCTCGGTGCCACAGCCAGGGGTCCTGAGACTCACAGGTGCTGGTGTGGCAGGTGCTGTGCTCTGCCCTTCATTTTCATACCCTGTGTCCTTGGCAGGGGCGTGGGCGGGCTCCAGTGTCCTTCCTTTTTTTTTTTTTTAATTTTATTGAATCATTGTGAGATAGTCACAAGCTTTCATGTTTGGGTTACGATTACACAATGATCAAACACCTGTCCCTCCACCAGTGCACATTCTCCACTAACAATATCCTCGGTATATCACCCATTTCCCACCCTCCTTCTGCCTCCATGGCAGACATGATTCCCCGTAATCTCTCTCTACTTTTGGGCATTATGGTTTGCAGTACAGACCCTGAGAGGTTATCATGTTTGGTTCTTTTTCTACTTTTTGTACATATCTCCCATCCCGACTGATTCCTCCAGCCATCTTTTTCTTAGTGACCCCTTCTCTATTCCAGCTGCCTTCTCCCCTTTGCTCAGGAGGCAGGCTTCCAGCTATGGAGCAATCTATCTGTCACGTGTATCTACTATCCTTAGGTGTCAGCCTCATGTTATGTTGTTTTATACTCCACAAATGAGTGCAGTCCTTCTTTGTCTCCAGTGTTCTTCCTGTCCAAAGCTCTCTGTCTTGTCCTTCTTCCTCTTACTCTTCTGCTTTGTACTCTTGGACTCCAGAATTCTCCTGCCTCTTGCTCTGGGGTATCCATGCCCTGGCCCTGTGCTATAAGCCAGCCTCGAGACTCTGGGCAGGGCAGTGGAGCTTGGTGAGAGGGTGGGGAGGTTGAGGCTATTCAGGGGGGCTCTGTGCGCCTCCCCCATCCTCGTCTCTCTTTAAGAGCGGCCTCATCTTTTTTAATTTTTATATTTGGGTTTGGCACAATGGTATAATTCTTGGCAAAAACTCATGATTACGACTTCATCATTATTAATATTTTTTTCATCATGAAGAAAAAAAAGGCAAACTTGTCAAGTTGTATTTGCCCATATGTACCGTGTGTGTGTGTGTGTGTGTGTGTGTGTGTGTGTGTGTGTGTTTGGGCCACACCTGGCAATGCTCAGGTGTTTCTCTTGGCTCTGCACTCAGGAATCACTCTTGACTATGTTCAGGGGACCATACGGTGATCAAACCCAGGTTGGCTGTGAGCAGGACAAATGCCTTACCTGCTGTACTATTGCTCTGGCCCCTGAACATGTATTTAAAAACCTCACCTTGGGGTCAAAGAGATAGCATAGGGGTTAAGGCACTTGTCTTATGTGCAGCCAAGCCCTTTTTTATTCCTGAGCCCCACTGGGAGTGATTGCTGGGTGCAGAGCCAGGAGTAAGTCCTCAGCAACACCAGGTGTGGCCCACTGCTCCCCTCTCTCTCCTCCTGAGGAAAAAAGACTTGGTATCTCCTGACTTTGATCCCTTTATTACACGTTCTTACAGTTCTTCAGGCCACTCACTATCTTAATTCTGAAGTTATGGCTTTTTTTGAATGCACGCACAGGGCCTGAGCCATCGTAACAGCCAGTAGGGCATTTGCCTTCCACATGGCCAGCCGGGGTTTGATCCCTGCACCTCTGAGCACCTCCAGGAGTGATCTCTAAGCATAGAACTAGGAGTAAAACCCCTGGCCCACCACCATCAAAAAAAGAAAAGGAAAGAAAACAAAACCATGCATCAATAAGCAGCCCACACCAGGGCCTTCATCAGGGGGACGTGGGGACTGAGGCATCAGGACAGAGACACACAGAAGCATCTTGGAGTAGGTTTTCTTAAGGTAGAAGGAAGCAGGCAGGAGCAACAGTGCAGCGGGGAGGGCATTTGCCTTGCATGCAGCCACCTAGGTTCAATCCTCAGATTCCCATATGGTCCCCTTAGCCTGCTGGGAATGATTCCTGAGTGCAGAGCATTGCTGGGTGTTATCCCAAAACCATACCCCCCTACCCACACACATATATACACATACACACACACCGCCTTTATATTGGGAGCTGGAATGATAGCACAGTGGGCAGGGTGTTTTGGGCAGGGTGTTTGCTTTGCCTGCAGCCTCTGACCCAATTTACATCCCTGGCACCCCAAATGGTCTCCCAAGCCCGCTAGAAGGGATCCCTGAGCACAGAGCCAGGAGATTAAGCCCTAGGTGTAGCCCCAAGACAAAACAAAATCTGCCACTGTGTTTTTGTTGCCTGCTTTGTCCATGAAAATGGGGGCCTGAGCCTCACGTGTGTGACTCACCGGGGAACATTCAGAGTGCAGCGTGCCCTCACCTCAGGCTTCCTGTGACCTTGGGCCAGGGAGAGCTGTGTTGGGGCATTAGCTGCCCCATGTGTGTTCAGCCCTTCAGAATCCCCGAGGAACAATGGGGGGCTGTCTGTGTGTCCTCCCTGAGGATGTGCTGTTGGGCTGCCGGGAAGCAGTCGCCAAATAGGCTGGGCATCCAGGAACCTGCCTAACTGACTGAGTGTTGGACGTGACATATTTTGAGGGCTGAGGCCGAGCTTGGCACATTCTGGAGTGGGGGTGCTGGAGCCATGTCTGTGTGCTGTGGCATATTCTGTTTCGGGGCCATACCCCATGATGCTCAGGGCTTTATTCCCCGTTCTGCTCTCAGACGTCACTCCTGGCCGTGCTTGGGGGGCACCATCTGGGATGCTGGGAATCAAACCCAGGTTGGCTGTGTGCAACGCAAGCACCCTACCCGCTCTACTCTCTCTCTGGCCCCTAGCAGGGCCATTTCTTGGAACAGAGCCACCTGCTAAAGCAAGGCGTATGGCCGGGCTCGCCATTATGTGGCGGGTGTGGCCCATCTGTTCCTGGACGCTCATATTTCCATCTGTGTACCTGGCATTCCAGAGCAGCTTTGTCCTCGCCTTCTCCCCCCCCCCCCCCCCCCATCAGTCCTCTGCTGATTGATCGTTTGGGCAAGTGTCGTGGTATTCCCAGGCCCTTGTGTAAATTGCCCAGTGGCTTCAGGAGCCTCGGGGAGTTTCAGGCCAGTTCAGTTACAGTCTTCCTGGACAAGTTTGCAGGTTGCATCTAGAGAAGCTCAAGGCAGAGAAGGAAGGTGCTGGAATATACCAGAGAGTTTGCTGCTTTTAGGGTTGAGAAGTGTGTGTGTGTGGGGGGGGGGGCGGGGGAGGGGCGGAGGGGAGGGGGTGCCTGTGCATCTGAAATTTTGCCAGTGAAGTGTGGCAAAAAAAAAAATCTGAAAAATAGCCAGTGAAGGGTGGCCACTGATATGTCGGACAGATCTCCTGTAAAGTGTGGCATTTCCGGCTTCAAGATGATGTGTGCGTTACACGTACCATGGATAATCCCCATGGTAACCGCAGACGTGTGTGATTGCGTGTGTCTCGGGGCGCTTTGAGGAGAGACGAGGATGGGGAACAACAAAAGGTAAATATGAAAGGTTACAGTGCGGACTTGCGTAAAAGGGCTTTATTAATTAGATTCAAACAGTATGCTCAAAGGTAAACATTGATTTGCTTCCAAGAAAAAAAAAACCTAAGAGCAGCCTGATCCCCGAGCAGCTGGCAGAGCCAGGCTGGCCTTGCCATGGCCAGGTCCACCCCTTGGTGGTTTTGTGTCCACGTCCCTCCTCAGCTTGAAAATGCTGCCTGGTCCAAGCGCAGCATCCGTCCCGCAGCTGGCTCTGCAGACGCCCTGGAAGGGGCCAGGCTGTCCTCCAGACTGACCCTTCCGGCCTCTCCTCTCTGTGTGTTTTTGCACCCACTTTCTTCCTGCTTCGTGTGACCCCCGCCCGCCGCCTGTGCTTCAGCCCCACCCAGCTTAGGCGACTCCTGCGGAAGGGTGAGTGTTGAGCCAGACACCTCCTGGAGGTGCAGTCAGGGGCTGCCCTGGCCACTGCCGGCCGGGAACCGACCCGGAGCTGCTTCTCAGGGGGTTGGCCAGCGCTCCTGGGGTGCTGTCGGATCTCCCTGCCATTTGCCCAAGCGATTCCCTGCTCATGTCCCATGGTAAGAAGTCAGATCACATCTGTCTGTTTCAGATCCTTTACGCCTGACCTTTCTGACCAGATAGTGACAGTTGTCCTATGTTAGTGTAATCTTAATGTCAGGTCATTTTGGGGTGGGGGAGAGAGTGCAGGGGATCAAGGGCAGGCATTCCATGTGGCTGACACGGGTTCCGGAGTTCAAGGCAATGCTTCACATGGGGCTGACCCAGCTCCATTCCCAGCATCACTCGGTTCCTTGAACATCACCAGGTGGAGCTCCCGGCCACCTTGAGGGCTGGTTGCTGGCACTACTGGGCCTAAGAAGTGTGACCTCCTGGGGCCCACCGAGAGTCTCCAGCCCAGAATTGCTGGGCAGCCCTGGACCTCCTTCTGCACCACGTGGGAGGCTCACAGAGGACTTAATAAGCTATGTTATGTGGCTTTTGCTTATGGTTGGATGAGGTTACTCAGGCCTGAAGGTTGGGGATTGGGGGGAGGGGGTTGGGACCCTCGATAAAGATCATGGAAAGAATTTCCTCATTGTTTTCCGGGTCAGCCCTCGGTGAATTCTTTTCACATTTACTTTTGGAAATTTCCAAAATCTGCGTATTTGTAGGGACACAGTAGAATAAAGCCCTATTAAATGAAACCCCACGTAGCCCACGATTCATGTCCCCTAGATATATTTGACAGGGGTTTGACTTGTCTTTTGACTCTCATGCCTCTTCCCCCAGCAAAAGCCCCCCCCCCCCATGCTTGTTGGTTTCATTAAGAGAATTTCTTCCCTTTAATTTTAGAACTAATGCTTACTCATAGGAAAAAGAAAATCACTAGAATGCAGAAAGACTTCAAATGCTCATAATCTTCTGTCTAGATACTCCCTCAATACCCTTTCCAAACCATTCTTTATGTACTTA